CTTTTAATGGCTGATTTTTCTGAAGTAGGTCACCATGCTTTTCTTCCCAGATGCCTGTTGGGGAAATCAAAACTCCAGCCTTTCTAATAGCAGCTGAGCATGTTAACCGTTTGCAGTACCCAGGGACTCCTTACTGAGGACCCCACAACACAGACTCACCGCCAATGAATCGATTATGACTCATAGTGACCCTATAGGGCAGCGTAGGACTGGCCTATGGGGTTTCTAAGGCTGTACACCTTTACGGAAGCACACTGCTTCATCTTCTCCTTCAGAGCGGCTGGTTGGTTTGAACCACTGATCATTCGGTTAGCAGATGAATGCCTTAGCCACTTCACCGCCAGAGCACCTTTACTGAAGACAGGGGAGTGTTTAGTCAGGGCATCAGGCTCTCAGTGATTCATCTTTGCTCCAAAGAGAATTAACCTTACTTCTGCAGCAATGAGCGAAGCCCATGAAACGGGAGATTAAGGGAGAACGATCTTGGCCATGTACTTTGCCCCAGGTGGCAGTGAACCTCCTGAAAGCCACTTAGAATAGAAAAGAGATATAGAAAGATCTGTGTGGGCTGGCTACTGCAGATGCCGTGCAAAGCTGATGGAAGGGGGAGCCATTTGTTGAGGCTGGGAAATTTGTGCATTTCCTGGAAGCTCACTATGCATTTATAGGCATATATATCATTTACATTGCAGTAGAAATAAGTGTATATTTAAAACTGACTTCTGCATTCAGAATTCTGAGGATGAACAGGAATTTAAATCCCAAGGGTTGACCCTGATAAGATAAAAGGGCAAAGTGGAAGGAGCATAGCTGAATCTGCACTGAGATGAGGAGGCTTGATTCCTGTTCCCTTTGGCCCCCGAACAGCTGTGTTGTTGGACGTAGATCCAGAAACCCCTCTGAGCTGCAGTTTTCTCATGCTCCCTTCACTCATCCAGGCAGCCTTGGACAGAATTAATAAATGGCTTTTCTTATCATGAAAGCAAAAATATACTCATATGGTAAAACAAAATACAAATAAGTAAAACAAACCTGCTTCCTGACATAGTTCATACTTAAGGAAGAGGAGACATGCAAGCATTATTGATTGTCTCCTCCTTGTAAGAATGGATGTCAATTTCCTGAAGCAACCCCAGGAGGTGGGGATTAATATGGCAAGTTCACTGAGCAGGAAATTGGCCCAGAGAACCTGAGGAACTTGCCCAAGGTCACAATCACCATAAACGTCAGGGCTTGCCATCCACTCCTTGTTGCTATAGAACCAAAGCTCAAGTTACTTATTTTTGTTTCTACCCAATTCTTTCTGAACTTCAAAAGGCGAGACCTGAACTTGGAGACAGTTCCTCTTGACTTACCCCATCCCCAATGCCAAACATCTTCCATCTCCAGAAGTGTGCCTGAGCAGAAGGAAAAGGCAAGACGGAGCTTGCATTTTTCTCAGAAGTGCTATCAGAGAAGTGAGTCACCTAGGTTATGTTTGGGCAGCTCCAGCCAGGCCTGACTTTAGCATGGCCCACCCCCACCCCAGAGTGCTGCCTCCTGCTCAGAACCGTAATGGCCATCAGCTGCCCAGAGGGCAGGGCAGAAACGTTGATAGCAGGCTTCATGTTGACATGGAACTCTTTAGAGTGCTTCCCTCAGCAGCACCTCACTGAATCTGCCTTCCTTCACACTCCTCATTCAAGAGCTGAGAACAGGCCAGAAAGGTTAGATCAAGTTTCCAAGGTTGCCCAGGAATTTGGTGACTGCCAGAAACACCAGTGTAACTCTTCTGACTCTCAAGAGGATGTCCTCTGTGAAATACCTATTAATGCAGCTGCCCTAATGGGGTTGGTAGGGCTGTGGCATGGACCATCGGGACAAGGAATTGTGGGGAAGGAAGGAAGGAAGCTAGAACAGGGATGAGGAGCTGATCTATCTTTTGGGACTGGCACAGTTGATAATGAGGGGTGGTCCACTGCAAAATGACCAGTGACTGTAAGGAAATTATTGTTAAAATGGGCATGGAGAATTTTGACTGAGAGTGTGACCACAGAGGTCTACCAAAGGCAAGGGACCCAGGGCCCTAGTGCTATGTCTGTTCATGCATTTATGTCACAACCCACACCAACCTTCTGGAAGATAAGAGGAGTACGAAATCATCATTCCAGACCTAGCCCAGGGGCTGAGTTCTCACCCAAGACACTCAGGTTCAGAGGTCCTGCAGCAGTGCAGGGCCTGATAGGAGCTAAAATGCAGTGACTCAGGCTAGATGGGCATCTAGGCCGTCCAGATACCAATTCTGTTCACAAAGACAGGGACTTATTCTAACTAGGAGTCAGGCACCTTGCCTGACTGGTCCAGGGTCAGCAGTCGCCAGGGGCCGCTAGGCAGATCCTTCAAAGAGGAGGCTGAGAGCAGCTTAGGAGAAACCAGCAGCTACTCTGTTTCCATTATTTCCTGCTCTGGTTGTTCCTCAGTCAGGATGGCCCCTCCTCCCTCCCAGGAATCAGATCTCCCTGAAAACCAGTTCACATGAAATTCTGCTCATCTAGCAAAAATAAAGGAGCTCTGGTGGCATAGTGCCTAAGGCATTTGAATATTAACCAGAAGGCTGGAGGTTCAAACCCATCAGCCACTCCTCAGAAGGAAGATGGGGCAATCTACTTCCATAGATATCCCACCTTGGAAGCCCAAGGAGGGGTCGCTATGAGTTGCAATCAACTCGACAGCAGTGAATTCATTCATTCATTTCATTCAGCAAAAATAATGTGTCTCTGCACCCAGGGTGCCTTGCTCTTTTGATCCTGGGAGGCTGTTACTCAACTGAAGGGAGATGTATGGCAGAAGGGGCCGGTACCTGACCTGTTGCTGCTTTCAGCTGTGGAGTCAGAGGTCACCTGGGAGAGTTTAGTTATTCTTTTCTGTCTTTTTGAGCCCCTGAGAGGTACCCAACGAGGTCTAGTGGCACAGTGCCTAAGGCATTTGACTGCTAACCAGAAAGCTAGTGGTTCAAACCCATCAGCCACTTCATGGAAGGAAGATGAGACAATCTACTTCTGTAAAGATTTACTGCCTTGGAAACCCAACTGGGTTTCCTATGAGTCAGAATCAACTCGATGGCATTGGGTATGAGGTACTTAAGGAACTCTGGTGGCGTAGTGGTTTAGGCATCTGGCTGTCAGAGTTTCAATCCCACTAGCTGCACCATGGAAGAAAGATGAGGCAGTCTGCTTCTATAAAGATTTACAGCCTTGGAAGCCCAATGGGAGTTGCTGAGTCAGAATCCACTCAATGGCAGTGGTTTGTTTTCTTTTTCTTTTTATAAGTGATACTTAAGGGGCCCTGGTACCACTGTGGTTAAGCTAAGTGCAAGTCTGCTAACCAAAGGTTGGTGGTTTGACCCTGCCAGCTGCTTCTCTGGAGAAGGATGTAGCAGTTTGCTTGCGTAAAGATTTACAGCCTTGGAAAGACTATGGGACACTCCTACCCTGCCCTATGTGGTTCTTATGAGTCAGAATTAACTCAATGGTAATGGGTTATTTTAGCACAAATTTTTCATACTCAACTAGTAACTGAAAGGTTGGTGGTTCAAACCCAGCAGTGTCATGGAAGAAAGGCCTGACAGTCTGCTTCCATGCATATTACAGCCAAGGAAACCCTGCGGAGCTCTGCTCTACTTTGTAACTTGTGAAGTCACCATGATTGGAATCAACTCAACAGCAAGGGGTTTGGGTTTACTATGTGCCTAGCATGGTACTGAGTAAGCCCTCAGGAGAATAAAAGGAACTAAAACTTATACACTGTTGTGGGTTTAAAACAGAACACATGATGGGATGAGGAGGACTAAGGCAACGGCATTGAGCTCTGTGCTGACTGAGTCAGGTACTGTGTTAGGAACTTACATGTTTAATTCAACTCTAACCCTGGGAGGAGTCAACCAGTCCCATTATAGAAAGGAGGGAACTCAAGTATAAGAAAAGATTCTGCCCACAAGTCATTATTTATCTGTTTTATTTTAACAGCAGAAGGAGAGGAATAGTACTTACTCTAGCAGGATAGCTGTTCAGACATGGAGAATGTTGGTATCAGGTACCAAGGAGAAGGTCAGAGATGGCGGTGTTTCCTTCCATCACATGGGTTCCTAGAAACAGTAAAGAAAGGAAGACTCTT